TTGGGAAAAAAAAGAAAGAAAGAAAGTCTTTCCCCCCTGGGCCACAGGAGTCTTTAACACAATCTTCTACTTTCTATTTCTTCCTTTCTCTTCCACAATGACCAAGAGACGGGATCGAGCCGATCTCCCCAGCTAAGCTGACACATCAAACCTTAGCAGGAGCAAGCTCTTCTCCCACCCGCTCCTCCTCAACCTCCCGCTTCTCCTTCTCCCTGGGCCAAGCCCGTCCTTAGCCGCTTCACCTCAGACACGCACTTCATTTAGGAATATCCACTAGTTCATAGTTATTTTGTCTTCCGACTGCTTTTCCTGGAGGGTAGTTTCTTTATGGGGCTTCGGGCCGCATGGTGGATTCAAGAAGACATATGTGTCAACCACTGACCACTTTTTTTCCGTTTGTGCCTCTAAAAATTCCAGACAATTCGGCTGTATGCGAAGAGCTCAGACATTGCTTTTCTAAACCAGGCTTTTCAAAGGATATCAGGAAATTGTCAGAAGAAATTTAGCTTCACTTTGTTTCAGCCTAAAAATGATCTATGGGGACTGGGGGGCGGTGATGGAGGAGGTTGAGGGCTGGAAAAGCGAGCGGAAGAGAGGGAGGGCCTCGCGCTGCACGAAGCTCAGGCACTGGCCCAGTGACCCCAAGCCCAAAGTGGATTCTGAGTCCCGGAGACTGGGGCTGGCTCTGGGGCCGCCTTCAGGTCGGGCCTGGTCCAGACCTTCTACCAACGCTGCTGGGTGTGCTGGGTGACCCGGCTGGACCCCACACGGACAGGACAGGACCCCACACGGGCCCTGGCCGGGGACGTCAGGCTGAGGTGTCCCTCTGGCCTCACGCTGGCCCCCGCCAAGAGAACACCGCGTCCGACCTAAGGCTGGAGCGCGTACCTGTGGGCGGGAACACGGGTGCTTGTGCCTCGGCAGCTGCAGGAACTAAACACGAAAGGAGAAAGGGCGTCACGCGCGCTCTCTGCCGGCCGCGGGAGCCCATGGTCCCCTCTTCCTAAGTTCTCCTCAGTCAGGTGCCCGCGAACCTCCCCCTCCAGGCTCCAGTCAGACAGGTCCCCCTGAAGTGTGATGCGGGCTCACACCTGGGCACACATTCTGCTGACCAACAGCAAGACAATGGGGAGCAAAACTGACACTGGGGCCATGCGGGTGGGGCCCTCGGGGTGCCGGGTCTGGGCTCAAGCTGACCTGAGGCATCCTGGGTCGCAGGTCAGGCCGCAGGCCGAGGAGAAGGCCAGCGGAGGGCCTTCGGCCACCAGGCCCTCCTGTCCTCGGGGGCCTGAGCCACCACCCTGTGGGCTGCTGAGCACAGGTCTGCGCCTGGGAGGCGGCACCCACCAGCCCCTCCCTCTGGTGGTCTCTGCTTGGGGGGGGGGCTGGGGCCAGCGCTCGGAAGGGACCCAGGAGTGGGCCCTGCACTGGATGGCCGGTCACTGACAAGCTGACACGGGGCGTGAACGCACAGATACCTGTTTGTGCAGCCGCTGCGGAAACTGCCGAGATAAAGGAGACACATGGGTAAGAGCAGGGTGAGTGCGGGGGCAGACAGAGCCCCTCCGCTCAGGGGTGAGCCACACGCCCCAGGGACAGCTGCCCTGAGCACCGGCGCTGCCCTCTCTGGGCTTCCACGGCCAGGTGGGGGCCGCACCGCCTGGCACACACGCTGGGCCAGGGGGCGGCAGAATTTGCCTTAGAAACTAAAGCAGCAGCACCAGTGAGCAGGTCTGAGCACGCTGGTGTGTCTGCAGCGCGGCTGAGCAGCCTACCTGGTGGATCTAGCTTAAACCTCTCAACATTACTTGGTTGCACAAGGATGAACCTTTGCAGACACATTGGGGACGCGCCCAGGCTTCAGCTGGCGGCGTGTCAGACTCAGGACAGAGCCCCCTGGCCTGGGCCTGGGGCAGGTCGAGGGGCTGGGGGCAGTGGCGGGCTCTCTCTGCACCGGCAGCCTGGCCGGGGCAGCTGCGACCAGCCCAGGAGCGCCAGGCCCGCCTGAGCAGAGACGCCCACAGTGGAGGGCGAGCCAGTCAGCGTGGGGGCACTGGTCCGGGGAGGCCTCGCTTTCTGTGCAGCTGATGTCATCCAGGAGGACTTGCCCACCCGGGGCTGAAGCTGGCCCCCTGGGAGCTCAGACACAGCCAGGCGCAGCCCAGCTGCCTGCAGAACGCACGGGCGTCCTGGGTGGACCAGCTGTCGCCTCACACGGAGCCCCAGGTGTCGGTGTGGCAGACGTCCACTCGGCCTCACACCTGCTCGGCCCTCACACCAGCTGCAGGCCCATATCTGGTGGACGCACAGGACAATGACACCCCCCCACCAGGCTCATCCAGAGAGCACCACCTCTCCCAGAATCCTGCGCTGACATGCAATAACGAGCCGGTTCTATTCACTTCATTAGCGCTGGCCTTGGGTGCGCCTTCGCGTGACTTCTGAGCTTGCAGGGAGCTAGGAAATGTTGTGTGTTCCCTTGCCGCTGGCATCACACAGCTGCGAAGCGGCTGTCCCTCGCCACCACCATCTGCGTTCCAAAATCTTGGTTTCTGACATTCAAGGTCTGTTGGAGTTTTCACGAGAAACCATCTCTGCCCGAGAATTGCCATGTGTGCAAATCTCCTGTGCCCCGCACGTGTGGGTCCAGTGACAACAGCCCCCCTCCAGGGAGTGTGCGGGACAGCCGCTGAAGCCCGAGCCCCAGATTCCAAGGGTAGGAGTGGGGCCTGGACACAGCTGGGGAACTCACAGCAGGAATGGAGGCGATTTGGGGCTGCAGGGTGCCCCAGTCTTCCCAGGTGTTGGTTTCCTCACCAGCCTCCGTAACTCCCCCCCCCTTTTTTTTTAACCCTAACTATGTTTATCTTGCTTTAATATGCTAGGTATTTTTTGGGGTACAGAAGGAGGGTTCAGTGAATAACACAATTTCTGCCCTCAAAGCACCCACCTCTAGACATTCAGACAGTAAAATGTAGTTACGGAAATAATGGGGAGTCAGCACGAAAATAGACCTGGCCGTGATGCAGAATAGAAAACAGCCTGGCTCGTCCATGGAGCGGGGGTGTGCGGGGGACAGACTGCCCGGGGCTGGGCTGCGCTGTGGTTTAGAGATGGCCTCCTCGGCCTCCTTCAGCTGCAGGGGCCGGGCAGCGTCCCACCTGCCCGCCACCTGTCACCCTCAGCCGCAAAGTGGGGGAAGGTGGTGGATTCTCTGGAAGTCATAATTTCAGGTGGGTGCGGCTAGCAGGGACTCGTGGCAAGTCCCCAGCCTGGCCGATTTGGAGTAACGAGGCCCTCGCAAGGATTAGGCCGGGCGTCGACGGATGACCTGAAGGCTCAGCTTGGCAAGGCCATCAGCCCTTCATGCACCTCACAACTTCCTCTCACTTTCCAGCCACGGGCTTTCCAGGCGAGCCTATGTGTTCCCAGCCCTGCCTCTGGCAGCAGACGCTCCCGGGGCCGGAGCCCCTGGAGGGGTTTTCCAGCAGGGGCAGGGGCCCCCACAGGCATGCTGGGGTTTTCTGAGCTAACACTCTACAAAGGGAAGGCAGCTGAGGACTGAGGACGGGATTACCTGCGGACGTGGGCACCTCTGTGGGTTCTGGGAAAGATGCTGAGGACAGATAGAAAAAGGAGACAGTTACACGTCTTGATTCAGGGCCAAACAGATCTAACACTCGGCCTGCTGCTGGCGGACTCTGCGCCCAGAGGGTCATCCAGGTCGTGACTCCAGTGATCCCCTCCCTGAGACCTTGCTCTGCAGGGCGTACCTACCCGCCACGGCGTGAGCACAAGGATCCCACGCAAGGCGAGGAGATCCAAGCACTTGGATGGTAGGTAGGTTCCTTTTTAAATAGACACACTTTAAAGTCAAAACGGCATCCTTCAGGGCTCTCCCTGGGCACAGCAAGTTAAAGCACAGTACCATGAAGCTCGCTGCAGCTGCTTCACAGCACGTTCAACCCCTGGCCAGGGGCGGCAGACCTCTCCTGACCCCTCAGCAGCGGACTTCGTCAGTCGGCCTGTTCTGCTCCCTGCTCTGCTTCTGGGGAACCCTCCCATCACTCCTGCACCTCTGGCCAGTACCCCAGTTAAATAAGTCTTAAAAAAAAAAAGAAGAAGCATCCTTCAGAGACCACCATAAACAAAACACACTACAGACCTACCTGAAGGTGGGTAGCTCCCAGCAGCTGAGGCCGTTGCATTGTGCCGGGAGGCTGGAGAGAGAAATCACAGGTGAGGGGTAGCTCATGCGCCTTCATTCTTCTTAAACCCGTGGGAGAGACTGGCTTATGTGACCCAGAAAGGCACATGTCATTCTGTGGAGAAGCTGCGCCCAGTCTGGGCATCTAGGCTGGCCCTGGGCTACCGTGGTGACACTGATGTCCCGGGCCACAGGGAGCATTTCTGCCCAGCTGACATAGCAATGTCCTTTTGGTGGTTTGCAGGGCAACTTGTGGCCCTGGAGATGGTCCCTAGGGTGGGGACCTCCTGCTGGTTGGGCTTGGTGACTCCTCCTGGGTGAGTCCCTCCCAGAGTAAGCGTCAGCTTGCAAAGGGCAGAGGCCCCAGGCTTATCTTAAGGACAGGGACCTTGGCTACAGGAGGGAGGGGCGGCACTGGAGGCCTGGAGGCCAGGGCAGGAGGAAGGACAGCTCAGAGCCCAGCCCTGTGTAGCTCCACGTCACCCCTGCCCCGTCTGCAGCCTGCTGGGCCCTGGCCCCTCCCAGCCCTCTGGCCTGGGCCGTCCTGCTCCGTGGGCTCCGCTCCTGCTAGCTCAGGGCACTGATTCTTGCCTGGCTCAGGTGTAGCTGACAGACACGCCCAGAGGGGTGCGACGAGAACTGGGGGCCCCGGGAACCCAGCTGGAAACTCCACTGGGATAGAAAGGGATAGGAGCCGCAGGCCAGGCCCCTCGACCTCCAGGGTCCCCTAGGACAGGAGGAAGTCGCCCCGCAGAAGTTCCCGAGCTTGGGGCAGCTCAGTGACCGCGGTTTCTCCTCTTGCAAGTGTTACACGATCCTGCGGGAACTCGCGTTTCTGCCCAGTCTGGTCTGCAGGTGTTTCAGACGTGCTCGGCGGGAGCTGACCAGACCAGAGCACTCACCTTTCGCCGCCATCTGGACAGTTTTGCTGGCCCTTGCGTGTGTGGTTACATCTCGCGCATGAGAGGCAAAGGGTCCTGGCTCCGTGACACGGAGCAGGACAATTCCCGGGAGGGCGCCCTCGCTGAAGCGCCACGAGAGGACTCAAGGTAAAGTGGGGAGAGTGGGGAGCGGGTGTGGGGGGCCCACGGGTGGCTGACGCTTGCGCACTGTGACCTGGGCACTGTCCAGCATGGGAGCGTTGTGGCTGGGCCGGATGCTGCCCCCGCTCCCCGGGGCCCACCTGAGCAGATGACCCCGGCTGGACGCTCCCCCCCCGGGGCCCACCTGAACAGATGACCCCGGCTGGACGCTTCCGCCCCGGGGCCCACCTGAGCAGATGACCCCAGCTGGACGCTGCCCCCCACCCCCGGGGGCCCACCTGAGCAGACGACGCCAGCTGGACGCTGTCCCCCCGGGGCCCACCTGCGCAGATGACCCCGGCGTCCTCGTGGTGCCCGCAGTTGTGGGAGAACCAGCCGCTGTGCAGACACTGCCACAGCCGCGCCTCGAGGCCGGCACACTCCATGTCGTCCAGGGCGATGGGGCCCAGGCCCTGCTGGAAGCGCGCCCGCCCAGGCGCCGCCAGGGCCTCCCCGCAGCCCAGCTGCCGGCACACCACCTGGGCCTCCCGCAGGTCCCAGCCGTCGTCGCACACGGTGCCCCAGGAGCCACTGCGGCGCAGCTCCACGCGGCCCTCGCACGGGTGGCCACCGCCCGTCAGCCGGAGGGCCACGTCTGGGGGGGACAGCGGGTCAGGGCTCCGTGCTGCCCCGAGCGGGGCCTGGGCTCCCTCTGGCCATCAGCCCCAGGTCCCCTCCCCGGGGGGTGGGGGGGACTGCAGGGCCTCCAGGGGGCAGCAAAGCCTCCAGGGGGCAGCAAAGCCCTGCGGGCCCAGTCTCTGCCGGCAGTGTGGTTTTGTGCGAGGCCGAGGGGCGTGCGGGGGTTAGAAGGCCCTTCCCAGGCAGCCTGGGGCGGGGGGTAAGCCCTGAGCGCAGGGAGCACCCCAGGGAGGTAACGTTCACCAAGAGGGGTGCTCCCCTCCCCACTAGCAAGCGAGCTCGGAAAGGCAGGGGCTTTCATCGGCCTCGTCCTCCCAGGCCGGCGCGTGACTCAGTCCAGTCTCCTCCTGCCCCTCCACCCCCCGGGATTTTCACCCAGAGCCACTGAGCTCCAGTGTCATTAAAGCGCCGTGGTTGTGGGCGTGGAGCTCCTCCTGCTCACCCCCTGCTCCCCACCCCTTTGGCGTCTGGTTCCTGTCCACAGCAGCACAGCAGCGCGAGAGGGCCCCTTTGTGAGGCCTCCTGAGCCCCGCAGGTGCGCCCCCGCGTCAGGTGTATGTGGGGGCGTGCTCCCTGGCACTGTGGGTGCTCACTCCTCTCTCCAGTCAGCTCTGGGGCGAGCTAAGGACAGCTGGGACCCCGGGCCAATCCCCAGCGCCCGGGTTTGGGGTGAGCCGGCCGCTCAGTCCGCCGTGAGCCCCGCGGGCAGGGAGCACCTACCCGTGTCGTTCTCATCCTGTAGGAGAGACTCGTAGGAGGCGTAAAAGCCGGCGTTGGTGATGATGTTGTCGCTGTGGAAGATCACCGTCAGACGATTCGAGGAGGAGGTGAATATTGGGGTTGTGCCGGAACAGAACCGCCCCAGGGAGAAAGATTCGCTCTGCGGGCCGTCGAAGACCTCCACGAAGTCGTAGGGACAGCCGTAGAAGTTCTCCATCCTGCGACGGACGTTGCGGTCGGGCTCAGCCGCCGGCCACCCGGCAGCACCCCCACGGCCCCCCCGATACACACTGGCTCAGCCGCGTCTGGCTGACACCTGCATCCCCCACAGGCCGGAGGAAACCACCGTGTTGAGGACATAGGCAGGATATCTCCTGCTTCTAGAACTTTTTAGTTTTTCATTCTATTGCATTTTTGGATTATGGGTCATGGGCACAGGAAGAGAATAAAGCAGGATGGGGGGTGTTGGCAAAGCGCTTTCCCCAGCCTGCCAGCCGCTGTCTCCTCGTGCTCCCGGTCATTCCCCAGGAGTACTGCCTCCACAGACAGCTACATGGGTACCAGCCGTAGCGGGGCTTAGGGGACCCCAATGCACGGCTGCTATGGGGGGCTGCCGGCTCCCGTCAGCACACCTGAGACCACCTGTCGGGACAGAACTGCTGGGCTAGACAATCTCTGTGCTCCAAATTCTAACCACTGTGACGGTCTGAGCTTCCGAGACCGTCCTCACTTCTGGAGCAGCACAGGTCACTCTGGGTGGCGGGGGGGCGCGTGGGCCGTAACCGTGCCCGCCACGTGTACTCACTCCAGCACTTCCAGGGTCAGCTTCACGTGAGCCCTGCTGTCCACCTGGATGTCCCAGGCACACACCACATTTGTGGGGTACTTTTTAGGATACCAAGGGCTGGAGAAGGAGCCCGAATGATTTGTGAGCAAACCGCCACACTGGAAATTTTCATCTGCAAGAAAGAGCGAAGAAGCACCTCAGGCAGTCACTGGCCTATGGGTGTTTTGAGAGGGGCCGAGAGGGGAGGGCGAGAGCAGGAGTGGGAGCCTTGCTGCGGGGCCACCTGTGTGGGCAACGGAACACCTGAGCTTTGCAGACTCGGCAGTTTGCCCAGAAGATGCTCGCGCTCGTAGGCTGACACACACGGGGAGCAGAACGTGCGGTGAATGGCGGGATGAGCCGACAGCAGCCCTGGAGCCCCGGAGGGGGGGATGTGGCACGGGCAGGTGAGCCCGCCCTCCCCAGGCTACGGAGTTACGTAAGTGCTAAATCAATACAACTCGAAGCGGGGAAAGGAGCCTAAGGACAGCAGCCCCGGAAGGTGCTCGCTCCGTCCGCCGCTACAAAATGGCCCAGCCGAGAAGCCCCTGGCAGCACAGAGCGATGAGCCCTGAGAACAGGGCCATGGCACCTTAAAACACACCCAGCTGATGCCAAGGGCAGGGCTGGGGCGTATGGGGGTTCCGCCCCCTGTGCCACAGGGTCCCGCAGGTAAATGGCAGAGATTCTTTTGGGGGCTACTGCAGGCGCTCTGGGGAGACAAAGCAACTATAAGGCAGGTCATGGCTTAAATAAAACGGCTGCACCTAACAAATACACAGTGGAATATTACTCAGCCGTCAAAAAGATAAACCTCAGGCCTTTTGCGGCAACATGGATGGAGCTGGAAGAGATCATGCTGAGTGAGATAAGCCAGAAAGAAAAGGAAAAATACCAGATGGTTTCATTCATAGCAGGAGCATAAAGGACCAGGGGAAACAAAAACATGAACAAATATCTACCAGAGACATTTTATGAGGGTGGAGTGGGGAATGGGGTCAAAAACGGGGGTGGAGGGAAATGCACTGGACTGTGGTGATGGCACACAGGTGATCTGGTGATGGGAAGCCCCCAGGGATTACAACTGAGATAGGGAAAGGCACAAAATGATGTAAAAATAAACTATTATATTAAAAAAAAAAACCTGCCATACCTAGGAGGACGCTGTCACCAGCCAAGTCTGAAAAAGACACAGGAAAAGTGATGCCTGGAGCAAGGACTTCTGTTCAGAACATTCCCTCGAAATACCAACAACCAGTGGCTCTCTCAGCTGGGGATTCCCTGCGCGCCCGTGGACAGAGGCGACGCTGGCCCTGAGGAGCTCGGACGTCAGCGCACAGCGTGCGGGGGGTGGGAGGGCAGGCTGGGGTCTGAATCTGGGCTCCTGCCCCCGTGCGCCCCGACCCCCCTAGCACGCCACCTCTGCAGGCAGTTCGCTCTCTTCTCAGCAGACTCCTACTCAGCAGTGGGCCTGAGACCCCTGCGCCCACCGCTCCCATCCTCGGTGCCCCACCCCCTGCTGGTCAGCGCTCATGGGCCGCAGTGCTGACGTGGACTAGCCGCGGAGAACTTATCTGCACGGTGTCTGGTGCGGGCTAGAGTCACCGGGCGCTCGCACACCGGAGACCCGGAACTGGCTGGAACGCAGGGAGGACAGTACCTGTCTGTGTCACGTCTGCGTTGCCGTCCACACCTAGCCAAAGACGAAGCGAGAAGAAGTGATGGCGTAAGGCAGGCAGAATTAAAAGGGAAACCGGTCTTTCTTTGGGCTCAGAAGCGTCCTACCCTGGCAGGTGGGAGCGGCTGGGCCGAGACATGCCTGTCTGCCCCGACGGGGCGCGGCGATGACCTTTACTTGCTGATGGTCAGTTCTGGGGCAGAGGGGGTGTTCGTAGCAGAGCCCCGCTGACCCCCTCTCCCCCGCCCAGGAGGCAGTGCTTCCGGAGCTCAGGTCTCCGTGTGACCCGGGAAACCCTCTGAGTCTGTCAAGGGTCTCACAGTCTTCGAGACCATGAACATCATCTGCACTCACGTGCCGGGCCTAGTGCCGGCCACGCGGGCAGTGGCCCAGGACACCAGCGCCTACGCCCGGCCAGGAGAGAGGACAGTGGCCGTGCGCAGGCCGGCCCCTGGGAGCTGGCGTCCGTGACCCACAGGGCTCTCTGCCCGCCACACTGCAGGCGGGGCCTTGGCAGGTGCGGACTCGGCGACTTAAGGGAGAGAACGAGCCCCTAAGCGCGCGGCTTTCCCGGGCAGCGGGAGGCCAGGCTCTGAGCAACCTCCTGGCCTCCACGTCTCCCTTCCCGGAGGCGGGGCCGGGCCCCTCCGGGCTGCTCACCGGTGCAGACGACGCCGGCGTCCTCATGGTGCCCGCAGTTGTGGGAGAACCAGCCGCTGTGCAGACACTGCCACAGCCGCGCCTCCTTCCCGGTGCACTGCACGTCGTCCAGCACGATGCGGCCGGTGCCTCCGTGGAAGTAGCTCTGCACGGGGGCCGACAGGGCCTGGCCACAGCCCAGCTGCCGGCACACCACCCCGGCGTCCAGGAGGTCCCAGCTGTCGTCACACACGGTGCCCCAGGCCCCGCCGTGCCACACCTCCACGCGGCCCTGGCAGCGGTCACTGCCGTTCACCAGCCTCAGCGACACACCTGGGGCGGGGGGGACAGGCCTGTGAGCGGCGGGGCTGTCCCCAGACGCCGGCGCCTCGCGCGCGGTGAGAACGTCCTCCGGCCTGCGGCTCAGTTTTCTATACTAAGCTGCCAGGCCGGGGTGGGCCCGTGTCCCGGTGCGTCCGCAGTGGTCCAGGTATGTGCTGCAGGTCAGATACCGCCTGTGAGTTATCTCAGGGCCCTTTGCGGCTCTCAAAAGCAACCTGGTTAGAAGGCACACGGCGAGGTCACTGCAAGCACAGGCTGGACTGCTGCTCCCACTGCCTGCTGCGGAGCCTACAAGGCTCCGTGTGCTGGGTGATGTTTGTGCTGGAGTCAGCTGGACGGAGGGCTGGCAGCTACAGTCGGAGTTTTACTCCAGAAGGATTTTCCTTTCCCTTGGAGAAGAAGGGGGTTCTCACCTGGCTCCTTCACCTACACACAAAGCCCAGGGAGACCAGGGCTCAGCCACCAGTCGCTGCAGCCGGGATGCTTTGGGGAAGGGACAGCGAGTGCGGAGCTGGCTGAGGGCCGGGCGGGTGCCCTTAGAGGCAGTGTGGGTGCCGGGGACCCTGGAGGACAGGTCCAGAAAGCGTCTCCGCCCCTACAGGGGGAAGAGGCAGGTGAGGGGGCCTCCCCAGGGATGGGGCAGGGACCCACCGCTCTCCGGCTCTTCTTGCTGGACCGTGTTGAACAGCGCGTAGAAGCCCGTGTTGGTGATCATGGCGTCACTTCTGAACACCACGGTGACCATGTTCGAGGAGGAGAAGAACGTGAGCTCTGCCCCTGCACAAAACCTGCCCATGGACAGCGAGGCTCTTTGCTGCCCGTCGAACACTTCCACGAAGTCGTAAGGGCAACCGTAGATGTCCTCCAGCCTGCGGGCGAAAGGCGGGGCTCCTGGAGGGGCCGGACAAAGGGGCTGGGACGTCTCCCCTGTGGTGTCCAGACAGAAACGGTGTCACCCCCACACCAACCACACACACCACGGGGACCCCCTCCTGTTGCTTCCCGGCGCCGGCTTTTCACCGCCTCTCGCCTGTGCCGCTTCTGTCGTCTGCCAACAGATCTGGTGGCTTTGGTCTCTCCCGCCATCACCCTCTCTACGCTGAAAGTCCCGGCTCTTTCACGCTGTCGCTGCACCCCCTGGGCTGTGGGAACGTGCTGACAGTGTCCATCAGGGTCTCACTGGGCCAAACTCTAAGAAGACCCCGAGTGGGGAGAAGCGCTGGCGGCTGTCAAATCTCCAGGGGCCTGTTGGGCAAGACTCTCGTCCCCAGGGCCCAGAACTGCCGGTTTAAGTTCTGTTTCCGTAATGTGTCTCCTCAACCTAGGCGATGAGCGCGCTGCTCCGGCCGGCCACCTGACACTGTCTCACCCTCCTCCCTACACCGTGTGTGGCACATTCTCTTCTTCATGGTGATCAGCATCATGCACCGAGCTGCTGGTTGTTGTCTCCACACCCGGGATGTAAACTTCCCAGGGCAGAGAACTTGTCTGTCTCCTTCGACACTACCCACCCATTCCTAGACCTTCAAAGGGGCTCGACAAATAGATTTTTAAAGAACATCTAATACCTGGGCCCTCCCTGCTGGCACAACAGGTTGAAGCGCAGCACTACAAAGCTCACTGCAGCTACTGCAGCATGAGTTCAATCCCTGCCTGCCCCAGAGGTAACCCACATGGCGCGGCAGACCTCTCCTGACCGCCTGCTGCTCCCCTCAGCAGTGGACTTCGTCGACCTGCCTGTTCTGCTCCCCACTCTGTCTCTGGTGAATCCTCCCACCCTCTGCATCTCTGGCCTGTACCCCAGTTCTGTACAAATAAAAAAATAATAATAATAAAATAAAGAACATCTAATATTTAACATGATAAAAATGTGAACTGTGAACTTTTGCACTTAAACAGCAGTAGGCAGCCTTAGATGCATATACATTATGTGTTCTCACCGTGTAATATGTGTGTGTGTGTCTATACACACAAAGGACATGATAGCACTCATACACAGACTATTGAATTTTTAAAACGCATTTTTGCAGAACGCATTGTTCCAGTGAAATTAAAAGCCAAACACCTAAAAATAACCCATTTTTAAAATAAGCAAAGGGATAACCTTAGTGTGTATGGGAACAATGGTGTGGTGATGACAGGTGATATGACAGTCTCAGAAGTCACTTTCTAGCAGTCTGAGAAGTCACTTTACTAAAAAGCAGGAAGCATTTCACTTAGCAAGACTAAAATGGCATCTAAAAACATGGAGACAATTTTTACAAGTCTATTGTAAAGCAAAGCTCGTGTGTGTGTGTGTGTGTGTGAGTGTGTGTAGGGCCACGTGTGTCTAGCTTGACCCCCAGGCTCCCGAACTGTGAGAATTACACTTCTATTCAGCTAAGTCTGTGGCATTTTGGCCTAGTGGCCCTAAAGGACAAAGACCATCTCTTTGAGGAAAGCACTGGTCTGATCTGGCTTGTAACACAGAGAATATACAAAGCTGGTTACTTTAGACTTGGGATCTTCAGTTCTATGTGGAACTTCTCAGCCACATGGATCACCCAGACACACTCCACGTCCGTGGGGTAGTTTGCTGGGTACCAGGGGCTGGAGAAGGTGCCCGAGAGACTTGAAATCACTCCTCCACAAGAGTTACTTCCTCCTGTAAAAGCAGACAAGAGGCCCTGGCTGGCTTCATCACACACAACTGGCATCTTCCCAGATTCAGAGTCTACACTCGTCAAGCTCCACAGCGGAGTCACACTACAGAAGGGTCAGGCTGGTACAGACACAGCTGTGGCTTAGCTGGGGCATGAGTGAACCCTGAGAGGGGCCAAGGGAGGAGGAAAGATGGAAGGCTGGTGGGCAGGACCTTAGACTTGAGTGTGGGTGACCCTGGGGAGGGGTCTGGACACGCCGTTTCCTACCATGCAAACCAGCCCACCTCAGTGGTACACCACCTGCATCTCCTACACACTGCTAGGCTCTGTCCCACTGGCCCTTCCCCTCAGGCTGCCAGGACAGACACAAGTCTGCTTGGCTTTTATGCGTGATCAGAGAGATTCCACTTTCTACAGGTTATAGTTCCATGAAAGCATTACCTTGTCGCACGGGGACCGGAAGAATGGGCGCTGCAAAATCAAAACCAGAAAAAGTCAGAAATGCTTCGCATCATCAAATCATCTTACGCCCAAGCCCACGAATAAAGCTATTGCTGCCCTTGGGTCTTAACACATGGTGTGGATTCACTCACTGACTTTTCTCCCTCCTCTGGGGTGCAGCCCCTCCCTTCCTTCAGCAGGAAATCGTAGGACTTGGGGGGGCCCACGGGCAGGGCTGTAAGGAGGCTGGCTGGGGCCAGTGGTAGCTGAGGCCCCGTTCTGGAGAGGCACCGGCTGTGGCAGCAGGACCACATGTGCTCTGACCAGCTGACCTTGTGTTGGGAGAAGGTCACCGAGGCACAGAATCTGGTGCAGGTTCCAGAGAGTCTTCCCTCCCCTCCTTTCCCGGGTGGGGCTAAGCCAGGAAGCCCACAGTGGAGCCCAAGTGGCTTCACTTCTCCTGCGAGTCTGCTCGTGACCCACGGGGAGTGGGAGCGGTGTAGCTTCGTTTTCCCTGAGCTTGTGTTTCCTAACCCCATTCCCAGAGCCAGCGCTTCCTCCTCCCTCCTTTCCAGATGGAGCATCCCCTCAGCCTGGGGATAGAACCTCCATCCTCCTTCCATTCCTTGCTCTGCTGATCAGAGCGGAGAGTTCCAGATGTCATTTCACTTGGGAAATTTGGCTCTTAGAGGCTCATTGTCTGAGTTACAGACTCTCGACCTCAGCTGCACACAGGGAGCTTTATCTACGAGGACGAGTAGGTGTGACCCTGGAGATGCTGAGGGGCTGGTCTGAGAGGCATGCCAGACATCGGGAACTCTAAAACTCCCGACGTGTGTGTCCTCCAATGTCCAGGTCAGACGGGGGCTGGGCTTCCTATTTGCTTTGCAGAGATCCCGGAAGTTCAGTGCTGGGCCTACCTGAGGGCACCGCAGTTGCCTCTGGAGCCCACTCTCCAGCCTCTGCATGCAGGAAACAAGGTGAATTAGGAAATGCAAATTAAGTTCTAGGAAGACAAAGTGGTGGTTTTTCAGTCTGGGCAGGTCTCAGGAAGGCTGACTTCATGTCACACGAACAAGAATAATGGCAGATTTGGACTTTGGAAAAGCCACTCCAGACCTGGGGGAGGTTGTGGAGAAGGGCGCCTGCAATTATGTGCCACTGTGTTCCCCCTCAGCAGGGAGTCAGGCTCCTGGTGTTCTCTGCCCACCTGGCTGACGAGACACTCAGCGGCTGGGCCACCCACCGTCTTGAGCTCCCCTGGCCAGTGGGCCTCCCACCCACCCCTAAGGTGCTGCTGCAAGGTGGGAAGAACCTTGCACAGAAGAGTTACCTGAGCAGATGACACCTGCGTCCTCGTGGTGGCCACAGTTGTGGTCTGACCAGCCAGAGCTGGGGCACTGTCCAAGGTGGTTCTCATTTCCGGAGCACTGAATGTTGTCCAGGAAGATGTCTCCAGAGCCTGGGCCAAAATGGGCTTGTCCTGGGGCAGCAATGGCCCATCCGCACGCCAGCTGCCGGCACACCACCTTCGCCTCGTTCAGGTCCCACAGGTCATCGCACACGGTGCCCCAGACCCCCTGGTAGAGGACCTCCACGCGCCCGGAGCACCGTCCAGAACCGCCTACCAGCCGCAGCTCCGGCCCGTCATCTACACAGAGGACATTATTCTTAGTAGGGAAGATATTTAGCTCCCTTGACTGTGGCTAAGCAGACATACCAGAGCAGAGCCTGAGGCTGTCTTGATTCCCATAATAGGTAGCGCTTAGGGCTTTAGGAGTGAGACGCAGCAGGTTGAATGCCAGTTCTACTGGTCTCTAGCTTTGTAACCCCGAACGAGTCCTTCTTCCCTGGCCTCAGTATGCTTGGGTGTGAAATGGGACAGTAGCAGCGTGTCACCAGAGGCGATGAGTCCATGAGAGGGGGAGCCTGAGCCCAGCCTCAGTACCCGGGACGCCACAGCTTCTGTGGGTCTTGCCCCATGCTCTTCTGTGTCACTATGCTGGGTTATTGGGGAAGTGGGCTCCCAGCTTCTTTTTTGGACGTATGTTGTGTTAGGGTTTGAATAAGTACTAATTTACTTTCCTGAGGTCACCCTCGCCAAAAGGGTTTCAATATTTTCATAAAACTTCATGGGAATGGCTATTTCTGGGAGGATGAGCGGTGGCCAGATGGGATGGCCTGCTGTGTCCTGGGCACACCCCAGGGACAGCCTTCTCTACTGTGTCCAGGGCTCTCCTGCATGGGCCTTCTTTCTGCTTTCCCACCATACCCAACTCTTTCTGCCCTGAAAGCCTGTGCTAAGAATGTCCCCTCACCAGCATTCTTGGGTATCTCTTCAACAAGGCCACCTACTCCCCTCCAACCCAATGTGGCACCTCTCTCACTCCAACACACTCTACCATCCACTTGGATTGTAGTTCCAACCCTTATTGCCACCTCCAAATCATCTTATGTATTACTTGTTCCTCCCCGCTCTGCCCCCATTCATACCGCCGTAAATGCCACTTAGGAACCTCATTGTACTGTTGCTCAGGGTTCTCAGTGCCTATAATGAGACCTGACACATTGTAGGACCTCAGTAAATACTGTTGGATGATTGAATGGTGATGTTAAGTCAATGAATGGTATGGATTTCAAATCTTAGGCCTTATTCAACCTCCCTCAAACAAGGTCTCAAACATGCCTTTGATAGTAAAGTATGTATAGAATTACTTTACTCAGATGCAAAACACAACACCCTACGCTAAACTGCAGCCAGGAATATACTACCTGGTTTCCTGGTGACCAGTTACTGGGGCTGCTGCAGGGGCTTCTGAGCATCAGAAGTCCCAAAATTGACCCAGCGCTAGTGGGTTCAAGTTGGACCTGAATCAGGAGTGAGTGCCTCTGTGGAGAAGGGGAATTCAAGCCTTTCATCTGGGTGAATGTAGAGTCCACTATAGGCAAAGTGTGACGTGGGCCCGCTGGTGGACTGAGTCTTCGTGAAAGTGCGGCTTCTGGATTTCAGCACTCTGGACAGTTGCCCCGGGCAGCCCAGGGCCTCTGCCGCACCCTGCCGGCAGGAGCAGCTAGTTCATTTATGCGCAGGCTGGCCATCACTGCCTTATTTCCACTGTTGGAGGATTCATGGGAAACTTCTAGGTATTACGGAGCAGGGTTTGTGAGGCGCATGATGAGACTCTTCTAAAACTGAATCCAGGCCTCTGCCAGCAAGGGGGTGTTCCAAACTAAACATCTGTTGTCTCTTAAAGACCAAAAACCTTCTGACACTTCCTACCTGAACTCCTTTCGTTCTGTGGAATAGCATTGAACAGAGCATAGAAGCCGCTGTTGGTGATCATAGAGTCGCTCCGGAATACCACTGTCATGATGTCCGAGGAGGAGAAAAACATCACGGCCACCGAAGCACAGAACTTCCCCATGGAAAGAGAGGCAATCCTGGGGCCATCAAAGATTTCAACGGAGTCATAGGGACACCCAAGGATGTCCTCCAGCCTGGGGAGTTGAAGTGGAGGGTCAGTGGCAGTTTAGGGCCTCCTCAAGCTTAAAGTTTTACTGAAAATCATGACTATCGTAGGATCAAAGATTTGGATTCCACATTTTAAACTGCACATAAATATGTAAAATATGAATTAACCTTTATTAACCTGATGCCTTACTCTTATTTGTGTGTGAAGGTTTGAGGCTTACGGTTATAACTTATTTTGAAGAAATTCAAAATCATAATAGTTTTGTTTGAACACAACCTCCGTGGAACATTGGGAAATACAACATAGACTGAAAACACATTCTTAACAGTCAAGTCACCCAGGGATCAATTTGTAATTGACCACACAGATTTCCCTACATCTATATTTTATAAAATTGTCCATATCCAAATTCTTGGGAAGAAAATCTCTTGATTTTAAAATAAAAGCAAAGGGAGCATATTGAAGGTATTTGCACATTGGTAATTTACAAGGGAAGTGTACTAGGGTGCCTGCAAGCAGGAGATTAACTGAGAACAAACCCTATCAGCTTGGGGGGCATGAGCTCAAGGCTCTCACTGCATTGTCCTTAGGACTTAGGCAACAAAGGTAGCCAGTGTCTGGGATATGTTTCGGTGCATGCCTGAAACCCCAGGGGACCGGCAGCAGTTCAGCTGAACTCAACAGTTCAGTCAGCGGCGGGTTCTCAGTGCCCTGCAGTGCCTCTGGGCTGACAGCGTGACCTGCATCATGCAGGGCTGTGGAGACCCAGCCTGCAGACTCGCGTGCTGGTGAAAGGGCAGGAAGAGTGGGCTAAGCTAAGCCTCAGTGTCCTCATCTCGGGCGATGACAGGGTCACCTGTCTTGGGACTGGGGTGATGCTGGAACATGAGAAAGCATACGAAGGGTGCAGTGCAGAGACTGGACAGACAGCTGGCAGGTGGTGGCTTTCTGTCACGCATAAACGATGGCAGTGACATTGGGAAACGGATGCTCTCCCTGTCCGAGGCGAGGCGATGATGCCCCCATCTTCCGTCATTCTGTGGCAATATTTAGAAGATGCAGAAAGCACACCTCGAGTGGTCAGTCAGTGTGTGTGTGTGTGTGTGTCAGTGTGTGAGTGTGTGTGTGTGGAGTCGCTTCCTATTTGTTCTCAATTTAGAGAAAGCAGAAAGAGGGTCTGAGAGGCTGAACATGGTATCCCATGGACAACTAGGGGCAACTGGGAAGGGGAATTTCATGATCTTTTTAGGAAAAAAACCAAAAGAGAAATTATCAAAAGAAGACTAAGTCAAATACATTAATAAGTCACTTTTTGTGGGTTAACTGGATAATATCAAATTCTACTTTTAATTTTTGAGAAATCTTCAAGCTGTCTTTTAGAATAACTGTCAATGTACGCGCATATCAACGATGTGTAAGGGGAATAAGGGTCCTTCCTCGCCACCTCCGTTCCGTGACTTGTTTCCTGTCTCTTATTTTGGGTCGCAGCCATCTATTCAAAAGGCTCACCATCCTCACAAGGGTGAGGTGATCTCTCGGTTTTGTTGGCATTTACCTAATAAGACGTGATAGACATCTTTTCAAGTGCCTGTTGGCCAGCTGTCTGCCTTTTTGGAGAATTGTCTATTCAGACCCTCTACTCATTTCTTAATCAAAATTTTTATATTGTTGAGTATTTTCAGTTCATTGTATATTATGGACATTAATCTTTTATCATGTGGGGCATGACTTGCAACTGTTTTAAAATGTTAGTCTGGTGAACCTGAGAAGAGTTTACAAGAATTTTGCTTTGCAACTCCTGTTAAGTCTGAAAAGAAAGAAAGAAAGAAAGAAAGAAAGAAAGAAAGAAAGAAAGAAAGAAAGAAAGAAAGAAAGAAAGAAAGAAAGAAAGAAAGAAAGAAAGAA